TGGGAGCAAGGGGCCTGGTTAAGGCACATTCCGATTGTTGGTGCAGAAATGCCTGAGGTAAAGTCAGTCCTGTATGGGGGGAGAGGTGGCCATAGCCGGAGCCTTAGCTGACCCTCAGTAGTGACACCGCCTCCCAGAGGGCCTCCGGTGCTCACCATGATACAGGCCTTGTACTTTCACAGTTGCCCCTGTGGGCCCCGCTTCCCTCGGTGACCTGGGACTAGAGGCAAGATGCTTGCATGGGTGGCCCTTCCCTGGCCTCTCAGAGCACGTGGAGACCAGAGAGGCCAGGCGAGCGCTGAGTGCTGAAGGTGTGGGGAAGCCGTGACCTGGCCCTGGGCACGACACCTGGCCTAGTCTCCTCCAGTTTCCTCCCACCTCTGCCCTCCGTCCTGCTTCACCCCACCACGGAGGGCTGCCTGGACGGGGCATCACGCAGCGCTGCTTCCATGCCCAGGACCCCCAGCCTGGCCACGCCTGCCGCCACGGCACCTTCGTTCATCCACACTCGCTCACAGCCAAGGCTGGTGCAGCAGCTTCCGGGGGCCATGTGGGACTCCGGCCCCGTGGTGAGGACGCCTGTCTGCTGGCCTCACGGCCCCGCCCTGCCCCTGCCCAGAGCCACAGCCTCCCCACCTCTCAGCCTCCGTTCTCACCTAGCTCCTCCTGCTGGCAGCCCACATGCCCCATGCCTTTGCCAGTGCGTCCCCTCTTCCCGTGACACCCTCCGTCCATCGCCACGAGGCTAGTCATAGCTACTCTTCCAGGTCTTGCTCTAGGGCCACCATCTTTCTCCAGCATGCTCAGTGAATCGTGTCCTGACGCAGTCCTGTGTTCAAGTCCTGAGCCCCAACACCTCTGAATGTGACCGTGGTCAGAATGAAGTCCACCACGAGGGCCCCAATCTCAGATGACTGCACCCTTCCAAAAGGAGCTCGGGACATGGCCACGCCCCGAGAGAGACCATGCAAAGACACAGGGAGAGACTCCACCTACAAGCCGAGGAGGGAGGCCGAGAAACCAGCCCTGCCAACTCCTTGATCCGACTCCCAGCTCCATACCTGGGGGAAAGCGGATTTCTGTCATTCAAGGCCCTCAGCCTGGAGTGCCGTGTCATGGCAGCCCTGGCACACGGGCAGAGCGGCAGGTCACCTGCACCTTCCCCAGGGCATGAGATGTCTCTTCAGCTCTCCCACCGCCAGCCCTGTGTGTTCACAGAGGTCTGAACCCCGCGAGAAGGCTGGCACCGTCGCCCCACTTTCCCTTTGATATGGGGACATGAAAGGAGAAGCCCTCATTGTGTGAGTGACCTGAAGCCAGCCTTTGGCCCCGGACCTGGACGGGGCTGAGTTGTTATTTGAAAGGTGACAGCGGACCCTGCTTCTGGGCCTTCCTGGGGGTGCTGTTCTCTGCTCTGCAGGCGATGGTCCTCCGTGGGCCTCTATGCAGTCCCAGACGGGGGACTGGAAATGAGCTGGCTGCCGAGGGCACAGGCCGATGGCACAGCACTGGTGTGGCCTTGACCCCAGGGCAGGTACAAGCCCTTCTTGCCCAGGGAGGAGCACTCTGGCCCTGAGAAGCCACTCTTCCTCCATCTTCCCCTTTGCAAAGACCTCAAGGTTCACACAGAGATGGATCCCTCCCGACCAACCCTCATTGTCTATGACATAGTCGTATGCACCTTGACTTGCCACCTCTGGGGGACAGCCAACCTGGGGCCAGAAGGCACTGAGTCCTTTGCCTGCTATCCCTTGGCCTAGCCAAGTTGGGTAGGGACACCCATCAGAGCCTCTGCAGGAACCCCACATGGCCCCAGAGGGGTTTAGCACCCAGGGGCCTGACCTCCTGAGTCCCACGCAGCCACAAGGAGCCTGCCCTCCTGAGTCCCACGCAGCCACGGAAGCTCGATTTCACTAAAGAGGCAGGTGATTTCCTTTTCAGAGGTTCTAAAGTTGTGGAGAGGGAGGAAACTTTGATGCCCAACTCAACGGAGAGTGACCCAAGCACTAGAAAGTACTAGAATTCCTCAGGGAGACAGGGTAACTACCCGTCTGCGTCTCCAGATGGAAACAGTTCAGACATCCCTGGGGTGAGCCACGGCTCCACGCAGCGTGTGGGGCTGGGCCTGATCTCTGTGCAAGCTGGGTCCTGGGAAAGGCTGGCCAAGCTGGAGCCTGACTGGGATGGCGGCCACTGTGGCCACAGGAAGGGCCCGTATGTGCTGTGGCTGTGGGGACAGGGCTACACTCATGGCAGAGTGAGCGCCCCAGGCCCCTTCCCTTCACCTGTGACAGGCGGTACTCAGGCCCCCAGCCTGTGGCTCAGCCTCGGAAGCTGGGCGTGCTCAGCCATGGCCCCCTGCACCATGACGGGAAGAGCCAGTGTCCAGGGAGGATGAGAAGGGGTTCTGGGAAATGCTACGATGGGGGCTCTGCTTCCCTGACACTGGCCCACCTCTCTCAGCGTGGAGCTGGAAGTACCTGACCAGGAGAGAGTGGTGAGTTTAAATCCAGAGCCTTGGCATTGGGAAGTTCATTACTTTAATAAAATAAAGACAATACAATCTTTTCCGCTAGTTTCCAGTAAGGAGCCTTTTTGTTTTCAGTGCAGTGAGCCCTCTTCAAGGCTCGGTGTGTAATTCTGGTGCCTGGGAGCCACAGGTCAGTTTGCAGCCCGAATGTGTGCACTATCTTTTTGGAGAAGTATACCCTTCTGCAGGGTGGTTAAGGTGCTGGACTTCCACATGGCCAACCGAGGTTCAAGTCCCAGACCCGACAGCTTGAAAATCAGGCCAGGCATGTGTGTGTGCATGCTCCAAGTCCCAGGGATAATGGAGGAGAAGGAACTGAAGCATGACCGTCCAGCCTAGGGGTGACTTCTCACTTTTCTTCTCTCTGTCTCTCTTTGGTAAGTGCACATACCCTAAGGTACAAAACAACAAAAACAACAATAGCCACTAAATGTAAAAAAGGGAGCATATGGATGTAGAATCCAAGGCCAAGGTCCGAGGGGCCGCGGGAGGGTCCAGGACGCAAAGCTCTGATCGCAGAGGCTCCTCCTGGAGAGCCGTGGGAGAAGACATCCCAGGCTTCCTTTCCAGACGGCCCAGGCCCAGATCACCGCTGCCTCTGCCTGGGCTGCTGCCGCTCCAGGCACCTGCTGCAGGCCAGAGCGTCCGCGCCGCCGCCCTCCTACCCGTCTGCAGACCAGCAGAATATTCTCCCCTTCTCATCGCCGACCAGGAGTTTGGTCTGGTTTCTTGGGAAGAGAAAGGAAAGATGAGAGCGTTAGAGGCTGGCCTGTGAGTGCCCCTGGCCCAGCCCGCACCCCAGAACTGCACTGTGGGGGATTGGTCCAGGAGCTGGCGGAGCCCACACCTGGCCTCGCCTCCCTCAAAGCTGGGGGAGGGAGCAGGAGAAATGGAGGGTTCTGCCTCTGGCCCCGGGGGCGGGTGACTTTTCGGTGGGAGCTATAGCTGGCACCAAGGGGAGCTCAAGTGCTGGGCTCCAAGGGCCGGAGTGAGGCCTGGCCCCTTCTCCCAGCACCTGCAGGGCCTCCCATCTGTCCCAGGAGAGGTGTAGCCAGGAAGCAGGCAGAGCAAAACAAAGTCCTCCAGCGAAGAGCGGGGCCTAGGCTCCTTCTCGGTCCCCATGCCTGCACAGCCCGGCCTGCCTTCTAGAACACCATGTGCCCACCAGGACGGCGGGGGCCTGCTCTGGACCAGCAAGGGGTAGAAGGCCAGCTCTCGGGGTCAGTGATGTCCTGTGATGACCCTTCCTAGGGGGTAGCACAGGCCTGGTAGGGCAGCTACCTCCTCGGGGCTACTGTGACAATCAGAACGATGTGTCGGTGTCCCAAAGGACACTTGCTGTTTCACAGTGGCTGGAGCTCGCGAAAGGCACTTTCTGTTAGTGTTAGCGTAGGACAGTCGTCATACCAAATGTCGCCATCGGCCACTCAGGAAGATTCTTTTTGAGGGAAAAGACCCTTTCCTTCTACCTTTTGGATTTCTTTATGAATTCATAGATTTTAAAAGGTGAGAGGGCAAGAGCATGTGTGAGCTAAAAAAGAAAAACTCCAACGAAACCTCCAGACGTGGACGAGGGTCCTACACAGCCACGTCACCTGCCTCTCCTATAGAGTGGGTTTCCCTGGCTCCCTCTAGTGGGGTCAGTCACCTCCCCAGGCCTGGCAGCCAGAGCCCAAGGCAGCTGCGGTTTTCCCAGGATGGCTGCAGCGACCCCTGCTGGAGGCCTGGAGAACCAGGCCGTGCTCACCTGGACACAGCCAGCGCTGTCACTGCAGGGCTGGCCTTGCTGGTCCTTCCCGTCAGAGCAAGGCTGATGTCCAGCTCCCGGCTCAGGGCAAGGTTCTTCTCCCACTTGTGGCCTGCAGGGAGCATATGAGAGAATAGTTAGAACACACGTGCACGTGTGCATCCACACGCAGGGCCACGAACACATCCGCACATGTTTATATTTGTGGTCAGCAACTTGTTAAATTGCGGGGAAAATATATTTAATCTTGGCCTGTGCTGTTGCAAAAAGGGCCGTCCCAATTTAATTTGCAGGCTGCGATGGTTACATGTGCTGACGTGCCGCGGTATCCATTGTGTACCAAATTGGATTTGTGTATTATTGCTTTCTAAATTGCATGCCTAGTTCAGCAAAATTGTTCATCAGTGTTTACTGGCTTTATGCTTAATAAGATGCCCCACAATACCTTGCTGCCAGGATGTAATGCAGCCCGTAATTGCCTAGTAAAAATAAATTACATAAAGTCGGCATTATCAACTTATCTAAATCCTCTCACGCCACAACCAATAATTAAATGCTGAGAACGTTTTTTCAAAAAATATAACTCGATGATTGTTACTTCACTCATTTTAATGACTGCATTTGGGGCCGAACAGTAATTCCTTCACTGTGAAGGGCGAGGTGGAGAGACACCGGCTGGCACGTCCCTGCTAGGCCTCATTGTGGGACGGGAAGGACTGACACTGCAGCGTCGGCTGCCCCACGGTGGTCGGCTACGGGGGCAGACAGGCACGTATGCCAGGGCAGGCGGGGGGGACAGGAGAGGGAGAGCCCGAAGCAGGACGGAGCACCTGGGAAATCTTGCACAAGTCCAAACGACAAGTCTTCTTAGCACTTTCATGTACCTGATCGAGTCCAAATGTGTAGGACGTTTCCTGAAATAAGTTGGACTCAACCGGGCTGGTGCTTATTGCAAATGACGAGCAAGGGGCCTCCAGGCTGACACTAGGTCCCATCTTCCCGCAATCAGGGCGTCCTCAACATCTTCAAAGATCTCCTATCTTGCCCCCTCAGACATCTGAGGGATGCGGCCATACACACATTGAGAAGACACGCGTGAGCACCCACACATCGGTCCCTTTCCAACAGCACACCTCTGAGCAGTGCAAGAATGACGTGTCCTCGTGGTTAGGTGTGTAAACATGCACATGGATTTGTTAACCTGAAGCTGCGGCCTGCCCTGATTTCTGAAAAATGCGTACATCTGTGCCAGGGCATCGTTCCATTCTCATCTTCCCTCAAACTGGAGCCACAGTCCTGGGTGGGGCAGTGGTGGTCCTGGGTCAGGACAGACAGAGGGAAGGGTGTGGACCTGAGGCTCCCTGTCGGCCTGATACCATCTCATAAGTTCCCTCATGTCACCGCTGCTGTGTTCAGAGAGAAGAAATTCTTAAGGTATCTGAGCAAATTACAATAATGACCTGAATTCGTGGACTAGATGAGTCTAGTCTAGTCTTGTTCTGTCATTAGCAGTCTAAACTACGGGACATACAGGAAGCGTGTCCATGTGACGAAGGGGGAGACTGAGGGCCAGGAGAACTGCTGGGATGGAGTTGCGTCTAGACCCTTCTTCCCTGCTTCCCATCTCTTGTTCCACAGACCCCACTGCCAAGGAGCACAACTTCAGCTCACTGTTGATGCAGGGGAGAAACCACCAGCTCTTACAGAACCAGGGAACAGCTTGGAGGTGTCCTGTGTCCACTGCCCACCCACCCACCCCAGCCCAGCCAGCCACCAGCAGTCACCCTGACAGCCATTTATCTGACGAGGCTGACGGCTGCAGAATTAGCCCTGTGTGCTCGCTGGGCCTTCAGATGAGGGCAGCCAAGCTAAGACTAGCATGGCGAGTGGCCTGATGCAGGCGTGCCCTAGGAACGCTCCCCATGCAGGCTGGGGCAAAGGACGCTGTGCGAGTCTTCTTCCAAGTGGGTAGAAGCAGGATACGAGGTTTGGCCCCTGCTCTCTAAAGAGCTGTGAGGCCGTTAGAATGCACAGGCCCCACAGCCCTGTCCTTCCACACTGAGGTGGGCTGATTCCTACAGTCCCCACGTCCCCGAGAGATGCGACACCAGAGAACTGAGTGTGGTTCTGGATCTGGTGATGCTACGCTCGGGGCCAGCCCACACTGTTGACCTGGCCCCCGGATGGATGGTGGTATCTGGAAGAAATGAATTCTCAGTGTAGAGCCCAGGAGGCAGAAGGGGCTGAGCAGAAGTCGGTGTGCATTTGCATGACAAAGGAGTGCATGATCCACGACTGGGTGCCGGCTAGATGAGGTTTTGGACTGCTTTTTAGAAACAGTCTAACTGAAAGTGGCAACTCCTTTCAGAAGGCATGGGTTCCAGGAAGTTCCAGGGAGCAGAATGATAACATGACATGGGACCAGCAGTTAGCGTAATGGCTATGTCGCTGGACTCCCATGTAGTCGACTGTGGTTCGAGTCCCGGACCCGGTGGCTTAAACTCACGCCAGGCGCGTGTGCGTGTGTACCCAAGATCCTGAGAGGAGAATGGAGGAGAAGGGATTGCGGCGTGGCCATTCTCCCTGGGGGGTGATTTCTCACTTTCTATCTCTCTGTCTCTGTCTGTCTGGAGAGCCCACGCACCCTATAGCAAAAACCTCTAAAAAAAAAAAAGAATGATAACATGACAGACGTCTCAGTTCTGGGCCAGAATCTGCTGAGGGAAGGTCGGCCGCATTGGAGGGGTGATGATGGCGGCTGTGGTGAAGTGAGGGGTGGCAGCTGTAATGGGGACATGCGTGCCTGTGTCCACGTGGGGGTTGGTGGCAGTGTCTGTGGGTAAGCTTATTCTGCAGTGCTGGCGCTGCTATGGCCACAGGGGTGAGCATCGTTGCTGTACACTGACAGGTAAATTCTCCACTCCCGCCCTGTCCTGTAGCTGGGTTGAGTAACAGGACCTGGCGTTGCCAGGGGCGATGGGATGCAGGTGATCTTCAGAGCCATTTGGAGGCTTTGCCATGGAGGTGGGTGGGTTGAAGCATGGTCAAGGGTGTGGTCTGGGAAGAGCACAATGGAAGCCCTTCCTCGACCTGGGAAAGTGGCCCCTCACTGCTCCTGTCTGCAGCCGGGCTGGCAGGTCAGTAGCCAGCTGGATCCTGGACTGGGGATCTGACAGTCAAGAGCTGTCCAGGCAGAGGGAGCACACCAGCTGAGGTCAGCAAGTGTGTCTCTACCGCCTGTAGCTCAGCAAGGTGTGTCTCCACCGCCTGCAGCTCAGCAAGGTGTGTCTCCACTGCCTGCAGCTCAGCAAGGTGTGTCTCCACCGCCTGTAGCTCAGCAAGGTGTGTCTCCACTGCCTACAGCTCAGGAGGCCCTGACAACTTCATCCGTGTCCAAGGAGCTTCTCAGGCCTGCTGGTCCCTACAGGGCCCAGGCCAGTATTCATGGGGCTTCTCCTGGCTGCTGCACATCCCCCCATCAACTCGCAGAAAACAAGCTGTTCTCCTGTCCCTGCCCTCAAACCTGGCACTAAGCCCCAGAGCCTCGATGGCTGGGCAGAGGTGCTGCCCGGGGCTGAGGTGGGAGAGGGCAGGCAGGGCAAAGCCAGCTGGGCACACTGCAGCCAGACTGTACCTCTTGGGCTCGGAGGCTGAGCTGATGGCTCTCCTGCTGCCCGCTCGGGGACAGACATCTTCACGTCCTCAGTCTTCCAAATCTGTCCAGAAAAGAGAAGATGCCGTGGGCAGGAGAAAGGACTGGTCTGCAAGTGGGGGTGAGGGGTTGGCCCTTCCCATTTCCTCACAGCTGGGGGCACAAGGGAAGCAGTAGGGCAAGGCCTCCCTGCCCCTTCTAACGCTGCTTTAATATTGGGAAAAGGCTATTTAGGCCCCAGCTCCCCTGCCTGGAGGTTTGGCCAATCATGACTCCAGCTTGGGCGAGTCCTGAATGCATTTTCCCCAGCCCTTACCTGCAGGCACAAGATGCTGTGGCCTGTTTATGGCCATTTTATTTTGCTAACGCCCTCTGTCCCCAGTGCCATCAGCTGGAGGCCTTCCCTCCTCCGTGACTGGCCTTGGTCCTAGCCCTGCCGTGTGCACTCAGGCTGGCTGAGTCTGGACTTTCTGCACTGAAGGATAGGATTGGTCTCCACTCAAGTGCTCCTGGGAGGCCCCTCCCCAGCTGCAGCAGAACACTGGGGCAAGCCGGGAGCATGGCCACCATATGGAGTGGATGAGTACTGAGTGCATGAAGACCCTCATCATGCCTCTGGGAAGGCCTAGAGAGTGAGCCTGTGCTCAGCCACCTCCAGCTGGGAGAACTGCCCCCAGGTGGGGCCCACACTCCACCAAGACTATGCCTTCACAACCTCCTCAAGTTCTGGCCAGCCCAGGACACCCTGCTCTCTGCACGGACCCCGTGCCCTTCATAAACCACAGGTGGGCTCTGCAAAGGGGTCTCTCAGGGGGTCACCCTTAGCCTCGTCTCTCTGTCTGCTCACTCTGGACCCTCAGTTGCATGACCTTCCCCATCTGCTCTGTCTTTCCCTCAACTGAAATGCCGCCTCTCCTGAGGTCTCTGTTGGAGAGAAACCCAGTCTTTCCCGGGGCCCCCACCACATCACTCCCTTCTGTTTCCTAAAGCGTCATCCCTGCCATTATTCTGAGACTGGATGTGAATGGCCTGGAGACCAGGGCTGCATTTTAGCCATGCTAACATACAGCATGCATGCATAAATGCTTGGAGAATTCCGTGGGCATCTTCTAGAATACCTTGGGATACTCAGTTGACATTTCTGTCCATGAAATGTGAAACTCAGTGGCCAGTCTCTTAAGTAAGCCTCTTAATGATTTCTCAAATTCGCTCATTCTTTACCCTTCTTGCCTTACCTTTCCACCTCAATGCTCCTCTCCTTTTGGCTTCCTGAAGCTCTTTCTTCCCCAAGGCTCTTCTCGGAGAGCCCACAGCGCCCCTGGGTTACCCTAACCCTAGCAAGGACTGCCTTCTTCTTACGCAATATGAGCCTCTGGACGAGAAGGGCCTGAGTGTCATTCATCTCTGCATCTGCAGTGGCTTGTATGGAGTGCTTCCCATGGAGTCCAAGTTCAGTGAATGTTGGGTGGGGGATGGATTGACGGATAGAGGGACCGATGGTGGGGGGGTGGATGGATTAGTGGATGGGTGGAAGAATGGAATATATGCATGATGGAGAGAATAAGTACATGCTGGATGGATGGAGTGGTGGTTGGGATAAATGGGTGGATGGAAAGATAAATAGTTGGGTAGGTGGGCAGATAGGTTGGAAGGATGGCTCAGTGAGCAGGGCTGGAATCACTGAATGGCACAAACATCTCTTTAGCATCAGACTATGGACTTCTGCATGTGACCATTCAGGGTTCATAGCTCGTAACATTGTTTTAGCCTGTGTGCTTGTATAGTGTCAGATACATATATACATATATTTGTATGTAAACATATATAGTACATATATATACATATAATGTGTATGTATGTATATATGAAAACATAGAAATATATATTGATAAATACATATGTTATGTGTGCATATGTATGCACATATATACATGTAACTTATAATATATGTAACATTTGCTTTCTGCCTGGAAAGAACGTCGGCTTCCTTTCCCTTGCGTGGAGCCCTGGAAGATGCAGGTGGAACTGAGAAAAGTGCATTCCTCGGGCCGTGTCCCCACTCTGCCCACAGGACACTTACCCGGACCATGCCGTCTTGACTCCCAGTGACAATAACATGGCTTGTGTCCCACGCAGGCCCCTCCAGCACACAGCAGCAGGTTATGGCTCCTTCGGGCCCCCAGGCTGTGGTGATGCTGGCCAAGGGCTGCCCGTTGACATCCCACAGGGACAAGTGGGGTCCTGCGCAGGAGACGACAGTGCCCTGCAGCGGTGACAGGCGGTTTCACTTTAAGCTAGAGTCACTGCCTGCCCACCTGCCACTGCTCATCCACCAGTTAGTACACCCAAGTGCCAATCTGCCATCGTCTGGAGACCAATCACAGTGCCCCACGAGCCCCTAGGACACCCACTGCTTGCGTGCCACTTGCAGGTGCACTGTGCTTTCACGGTGGAAAATTCTCGGCTCCGTCATGCGGTGACCATGTGTGTGTATGCCACTTTCTCTGGCAGATACTGACTGGTCATCCTCAGGGCTCCTTCCAGATCCCTCTCCCTGGCCAAATACCGGGTGAAATGACGAGCCATCCTGAAGACCACCCCTGGCTTTGGACACAGGCCTGACATCTGGCTGGCTAGTCCTGCTCCATGAAGAGCAGAGTTCTGGATGTCACCTGATGTGGGGCAGGGTACAGAGGTCCAAATGATTGCATGTGGCTCATAAACTTGTGCAATGTCCCTCAAGATAAAATTTCTGATGAGCGGTTTTTCCATTGTGTTTCCAAAAATGCTCGTCCCCAGACTCTGGCCTTCAGTCTTCTCTGTTCTGTACTCATTGGAGTAGTTGCCACTGTCACCAAGGGCCCAGCTGGGCCTTGCCTCTGAGCCCTTCCCTAAGCATGGAAGGTTTGTAGGAAACTCAGCAGTTCTCTACAGTGCCTTGGGCTGGCTCCAGTGTGGAACTTCAGTAATTGTTAGGGATGACCGAGTCTGGCACCGGGTCTGGTACATCTCTGTCCCGCCCCAGCGCTGGGCCCAGCAGGCACATTCTGAAGTCAAGTGACCCCTGAATGATGTGTTCTGGTACCAGAAGACCCTAGTTTTCTCTGGAGTTCAGGGGCATAACGCCTTATAGACTTTATTTTCTCCCCGATCAGGTGTGGTGCCTTTCCCAGCACATTAATCTATCTCCCCAGTCACCCTCCGTCCATCCATCAATACACCCACTCTCCATCCACTCATCCACTTCTCTACTGACAAAGCCATCTACACACATGCCAGCTGTTGACCCATTCACCCAGCCACCTGCCTTCCATTCTCTTCCTTCGCTGTGCACCTACTCACCGACCCATTCGTCCATCCCCATTCATCTACCCATCCATCCCCACATCCGTTCTTCCTCCACCCACCACCGAACATTCATCTTGGATCCAAGACAATCTGGAACACAACGTTTGGCCAAAGTTGGCAGCAGGAGGCTCCTCCATCATCTCCCTGTGCCAGGAGCACTCTGCCCACTTTATTTATGGCCTGTAATTTTTCATGAACATATGCCGAACCTTCTGCATCCTCAGGAACCTCCATATCCCATAATAAGACTCCTAGCCTGAAAGAAACTCTACTCTCAGACAGATAGATTTCTTCTCTCTCTCTCTCAAACACACACACACACACACACACACACAGGCTCCTGAGAGGCTCATCTTTGTTGACCCAGATGGGAGGACAAGTAGAGGCACCTGCTCACTCAACACTGACTCGCAGTTAAAGAGCTAACTTGGCTGGCTGTACCCAGCAGACCCCTCACCTAAGGCAGGTCTCTCTGCCCAGACCCCCTAGGGCCTATGCAGAACAGACGTGCTCTGCAGCCTTCACCACCTACGGGAGGACGGTAAGGAAGCAAAAGCCCAGACCAGGTGCAGCTGCACACGCTGACCACAGGGGCTGCGCCGACACTCGGGGCCGCACAGCATCCCAGGGTGCTCAGTCTCTCCTGCCCGAGACGTTCTCGTGGGGTGCTGGCCACGACACTACTAGGCAGCTCGCAGACACGGGGAGGGCACAGCCACGGAGAAGCAGGCGCCTTACCGAGACATCACTGATGGCGATGGCCGAGATGCCCTCCCGGTGGGCAGGCAGGCGGGCCACGTGGGTGAGGTGGTCCAAGTCCCACAGGATGCACGTGCAGTCCTGCGAGCCACTCACCAGCAGGCTGAAGGAGACGGAGGCGGCCAGGCACGTGACAGCCTGCGAGTGCCCGTATAAGGCCTAGGGGTGGAAGACAGACCCAAGGGTTATGGGAGGGACCCTTAATCCAACTTGGGCGATACCCGACCCTTCATGTTACCCCTGGGCCAGATAAGGAAAGAGCTATTCAGAGTGATCAGAAATTCCCCACTGGTATGATCTGGGGAGTGTTCGAGTCTGTCTGCGGCCGGCCGCTCAGTTCATCCATTTCCAGGGGCTGAGGCCCAGCCAGGGGGCAGTGCGCCCTGGTGCTGCAGACTCCACCTCTGCCTTGAGTGCTGAAGCACGAGGCACACTCACGCGAGGTGAGGTTGGCACGGTGTGGTGCTCAGACCAGTGTTCTAGGAGCTCGTCCGAGTGCGAAGTTTTGAGCCACACCCTAGGCCTCCTCCTTGGGAACGCTGGAGGTGGGCCCGCCGTGGTCTGGGCTGCTGAGCCCGGGGAGGAGTCTCACGCATGCTGCAGCGTGAGAGCCATCACCCGGAGGCACACTGAGCACAGGGAGGGGGAGGTCAGGTCACCCTCAGAAAGCTGTGACTGGGGCCAGCAGGTTGTGTGGTGGTGAAGGCGCTGGGCTCCCACACGCTGAGCAGGCCCAGTCCCACCCAGCCGCTAGAAAATCACGCTGGGCACATGCGCCTGCTTGCCCAAAATCCTAAGGGGAGGGATGGCCGCTTTTTCACTTCCTGTTTCTATCTCTGTCATGTGGATGCATGTGTCCTACGGGGGGAAAAACGGAAAAAGAAAATAATAAATAAAGTCTGTCTTTCCAACCCCCTGGATCGGGGCTCAGCCCGGCGGGTAAGTCAGGGCCTTGGGCTTGGCTCTCAGGCTGGCCCACGAGGGGCCTGGGCTGCCTCACAGACGGCCGTGTGTCCAGATGTGACTGGAAGCTTTGCTCTCCTGAGGCGGCCGACCAGCCACCCCCAAGGCCCAGGCCCGCTGCTGCTGGGAACAGAGTGCATTTCAGCACGAGCATCCCGGAAACTCCAGGCGGGCTGCACCATGCCCCGCCGTGCTCACATGTGCTCGCTGCCATCTGGACTCAGCCAGGAAGTGTAGACACGGCGTTAGGGAATGTGGCTGGCATGGCCTACCTAGTGGTCAGTCACTCTCAGGACAGAGAGGGCTGACCACTCATTCTGGTCAGTGGGCTGGGGGTCCCTTTGCCCGGTCAGTGCAATGAAGAGCTCCGCCCCGGGTTGCTGTTTGTCCCCAGTGGAGCCTGAGGTGGTACCAGCCAGATGGTGCTGGCAGGTTGCGGGGCAGGACCCCGCAGCATGGTTGGGCTGTCTCAGGAAAACGGGGCTGTCTACATGAACACGGGACAGCAGAGGACTAGACAGTGACTTCCCCGTTCTCTTCCCAGAATGAACGAAATCTGGTGACTAACTTGTGACTGCTGGGGACACAGCGACCCCAGAGGATACAGGGCAGGGGCCCAGGTTACGTGCTGGGGCCTCAGGAGAAGCTCTGAGCCAGAGGCCGGCACCTGCTCTCTGCCGGGGCAGTTGTGCGCTGTGCGTGGGGCCGCCCACTAGGGAAGACTCGCGACTGTCCAGCCGGCCAGGACCTGCAGCGCCTGGGAACGTGTAAGCGCCCACGCCCCAGCCACCCTGGAAGGGCAGGGAGGCCAAGGAGGCAAGGGCGGTGGCAGTTTAAGTGTGGCCTCAATGGGCTGCTCGGCTTCGTCGGAATAACACTTTGGGAAGCTTCCTTGAATCACCTTGTACTTAACTAACATAGCGAAAAGAAAGAAAATACACCCCCCCGAAAACACCCCCATGCCGACGGGATGGGCGCTTCTCCTTCAGTGCTGTGGCGCTGTCAAGCTACGGGGCCATTCTGGAAAGCGTTAGGCCACCGCTCAGGAATCCCAGCCCTGGAAACGCAGCCTCAGGAAACCGGCAGAAGCAACCGCGGTCTCTGGGAGACGTTCTCGGCGCTGTTTTCAACGGCTCGGACTTGGAAGCGGCTTAACTGTCTAGTTGTAGGAGAAATGCTTTATTGAACTGCGGGGCACTGACATAACAAAACAAGTGAAATGTAAGTTTATGGAAATGGAATCATTCGGAACATTGAAATGTAAATTACGGACTGGAATAATGGAACCAATTTGAAGGCTGGATGAAAATAGAATAAAAACATTTTCAAAATGATCAGAAAGGTATAAATATGTATATCTGGGGACGGCAGTACACGAAAAATGAAAGGGTTGTAGAGAATTGTGTATCTTTGAAGTGAATTTGAAACTTCTCTTTATTGTTGTAAAATTTTTTGAAATAGGGCACTTTAATAACTGAGGGCTGGGGGCTGGCAGGTGGCTTGGTGGTTCTAGGAGCGGGACTCCCGCATGGCCGACTGTGGTTTGAGTCCCGGACCTGGCGGCTTGCTCTCTCTCTCTCTCTATCCCTCTCTGGTCAAATTGAAATAAATAAATGAATGAATAAATAAAGTTAAATAAAATAATTAAAAAAAAAAAGAAAAAAACTGAGGGCTGACTTCTGTGCCTGCAAGTCAGGGGCAGGTCCTGCAGAGCAGCCCGGACCTGGGGGTCCTCAAGGCCACTGTCAGCCTTTGCAGGTTGTGTTCCCTGGGAAGTGAGAGCTCCCAGGATGCCTCCCGTCCTTTTCTCTTGCTTTGGGCTGAGGACTATAAATTACCTTCTTATGGCATCAACACAGGCTTTTACTGCTGAATAGGAGCCTGGGGCAGGAGCGAGGGCCACTTCCTGGCGCCCCGAAGGAAGGCTAAAGGTGGCAAGGCCCTGCAGTCCCCAGGGGATATGTAAATGGGCGATGCCAGCAGAGGGACCCTGTAGGCACCTGGGCTGGGAATAAAACCAGCCAAGAGGGGCCAGGACATGCCAGGAGCAACTGGAGAAGGTGAGAAGGTGAGGTGAGAAGGTGAGAAGGCAGAAGCCCAGGGGTCCCTCCTCCCTCCTCCCTCCTACCTCCCCACTCACTCCTCCACCTCCCAATTACTGAGTGACCTTGAGGACCAACCTACCCCCCCCACACACACACACCACCATCCCAGCAACCACTGGGGGCAAGGCCAGGAGACCAGGGCAGGCTCTGGGGAAAGGTCAGTGCTTAAAAGTCACCCCGAGAAACCTGGACTGGACTCCAGAGGACATGGTTTAGGAACTCTGGGCATCTTGTCTGGCTTGTCTCGGGTTTTGCTGCCTTGGGGTTCTATTAGACACAGACAAAGTGAGCTGGAAGTGACCCCTGTGACAGTGCAGGGCAAGTTCAGGAGCACACAGGGAGAGAGCATGGGGTCCAGGCGAGCTAGCTCAGAGCAGACTCCATCTTTCTGAGCTGTTCCTTCTCCCGAGACTGGCAATCGAGTCTCTACCGACAGGGCCATAATGGGCACGCTGGGGCCCTGGCACATCCTGGGTGTTAAGCTAATGGCGAGCACTGCCTGGGGCGTCCCGCCGGTGGTGGTGCTGAGGCCGGACCGGGATGCACCTGTGGGCGGTTTGGCTCCCGCCACAGCCACTTCCCTCCTGAGAGTCTTTCGGTTTCTGGGTCTGTGACCTGGGTGAGCGCTTGACGCCCATGCCCTCAGCTGCTCTCCCCAGTGAGGCAGGAATGACGAGGGCCCCAGCTGGGAAGGCAGCAGAGGAGATCGTGCAGTGACTGGCAGGCGGCAGCCCCTGGCAAAGGCTCAGGGCCGTTATCCAGGCAGGGAACGGACTTTCGGGCCTGATGTGTACGAGGAGGAGCCACGTGTGGCTTGGACTCTCTTACTGAGGCGTGGTCTCCGTGGAGGCCACCTGGAGGCCACGTACTGCTCACTGTGCCCAGGCACTGGCCCTGCCTGAGGCCCTTGCCTGCCAAGGCACTGTCACTGTCTAAGAAGCCACACCTGCCTCTACGACTGAGACACTGTCCCTGCCTGAGCAAGGTCACCACGCCCACGGCAGCACCGCACTGTCGGAGGGACACACCTGCCGGACACTGTCCCTGCCTGAGCGAGGTCACCGTGCCCACAGCAGCACCGTACTGTCAGAGTGACACACCTGCCGGAGCTGCAGGCCTCTGGGGCGGCCTTTGGCTGTCTGGAGTTCCCACACACACACCACGCTGCTGGCCCCGGCGGTGACAATTAGCGTGGGGGACGGACACACGGCGCACAGGCAGCGGCCCCAGGCAGCCAGGTTCTCAAACGTCAGCAGGACCTGCGGGCAACAGGGGATGAGGAGATGAGCACCAGTATGGGGTGGCAGGGCCGGGGCCGGCACAGGGACGGGGACATGGGCGAGCCTGGGTGCCTGGGGGCCCAGGGACATGTCATGTGTTCAGGAGCTCAAGTGACCAAATTGAGGACGTCCAGGCCTGTCCCTGAGGAGGAGCTCCTACTCCAGCTACACGGAGGGACACGTGAACAGGGGCCAACAGAGGCCCTGGCAGTACACGTGAGCTCCAGGAAGCAGTGGTCGCCTGGGACAGCCAGGACGGAACTCAGTTGGGCACCTGAGGCCGGTTCCACGGCTGCCCCTGAAGCCAGGGGGCAAGTCTAGGGAGGGGCAGGGGAGAATTGCGCGGTGGTCAGGAACTGGGCCGTGTGAGGGCGGGGTGGGCAGCGGGGCCGACGGGCGGGAGCTGGAAAGGCAGAGACAGCTGGATGGCCTGCGCCATGGAGGGCCAGGAAGTGGCGGCTTACTCCAATAGCCTCTGACATACTCCGGGAGTCGGCTGACCTAAACCACGGCTGGGGCAGGAGGAGCCCCCGACATCCCACCCAGTCTGGACGATGCCACATAGCCAGAGACAGGTCAGAGTGCTCTGGAGTGGCAGCTGGACAGCGGGCATGGCCCCTTACACTTGCAGGCATGGGAAGCCCGGCCGGGTGTGGTCCTGCTTGGGCCTGGCCGGCGAGCCTGGGAGCTCCCCGTCCCAGCTGGGGGCCAAGCCAGGCCGTGATGCCCGGGCCGCTCACCCTGTCGGAGCCGTAGCTCTCCAGGCAGCAGCCGAGGTCGTCGAAGCCCCAGCTGAAGGTCGTGCTCCAGAGCGGGGGCAGCAGCACCTTGTTCCTCTCCACGGCCAGGATGCTCTTCTCTGTAGGCACGATGTGGCCGATGGCCCCTTTGGGGGACTCGGAGCCTAGAGAGAAGAGGTACATATCTACCCCCCAGTCAGTACGGCAGAATGTGTGCACGGAAGGCAGCACCAGTCTGGCTGGGCGGAGGAGGGCCATGGCTAGGCCACTCGGGTCCTTGGTGGAGGACGCCGCCTTCCGACCCTGGGCCAGGTGAGCTGAGAACACTCTCCCCACACCCAGGAGGCAGAGAGGGGACAGGATCTGGGAGAGGCTCACTGATAGGATGTCCCCTCCTCTGTAGCCCTGACCTGGCAGCTGCTCAGATGGAAAGACTGGGTACAGCCCTTAGAGTGAGGCTGCCAGCTGCTCGGAGGGCCCTGTATCTGCAAGACTCCTGTCAGGGCTGGCCTGGAGCCACCTGGTGACAGAGCCACTTCACAGCATTGTCACACCAAGCCTGAGGGCAGGGCCACTATCCTCCCATCTTATAAATGGGGAAACTGAGTTAAAAGAAGGTGCCCAGGACCAGCTGGCTGGCGAGGTCTGCACCGGGTCTCTGAGCTACACCTGAGAGCTGCCACCTGGTCCCTGCTGATGGGTCTGCAGCCCTTCTCCTCCACATGGTGCAGGGCTGGGCCTGGCTGTCTCCCCTGGATTGCCCAGGACCTCTCTGCTACTCTTTAGAGGAAGAAGCGTGTGTGTGTGTGTGTGTGTGTGTGTGTATGAGAGAGAGAGAGAGGAGAAATGTTTGTGTGTACAGGAAAGAGAGCTGTTTATATATGGAACGAACGTGTGTTTATAAAAGAGAGAGGGAGCTCTGGGTGTCTGAAACGGACAGACACCTGGCTCCTCACAAGTCAGGTCTAACAAAGGAGGTCCTGGACACTTGCAGAGCAGAGGCCTCCCCAGATTCCCACGTGACTACAGACATAGTCGCTCGGTGTCAGACCCCAATCTTTCGCCCAGGTCCGCGTCCCTGAACCTCTGAGGAGCCCAGTCCCTGAAGGGACACAGCGGATGGCCACCAGCAATGCATGACCAGGTGCTCACCTTTGACTGTGACCTGGGAAGGCTTCAGCGCTGACAGGCTGTGGAAGAAGGGCTGTGGGTGCCCGGGCAGGCTGGATGGTGCAGACACATCCTTTCCAGGGGCAGGCTTAACCGCAGTCCTGACCGGGTGGGGTTTGGTAAAGAGCTGAGAGGCAAGAGGACATTGCACACCACATGGTCACAGAGGAGGTGCCCCATGCAGGCCACGGCTACACCCCTGGGCTCGGTCCTGAGGGAGCTGAGCACAGACAGCCTTCCGGTCTGACCTCAGTGCTGCAGAGGAGGGGCCTGGGGCTCAGCGAGGGGCAGCTACTTCCGTAAGGTAACAGAGAGCCCTCCTGGCTGCTCGCCTGGGCTGATCTCGCGATGTGCCCTGGGTCCCGGGAGAGCTGAGTCTCACACCTGGGCAGAGTGGCCCTCTCCCCTCCCCAGGTGACATGGCTCCCTTCCTGCTTGGGCCGTTTCCTGTGCTTCGGGAGAACTGAACTGCTTCGGGCTCTCCCCCAGGCGACAACACAGAATTCTTTCAGAGCATCCACTCAGATACTTTGGAAAACACAGGCAAACCCCGTGAGTTTTCTTAATCTTTTTTTTTTTTTAACAGAAATATTGTTCCTAATGCCATACTTGCATAACTGGGCAAAGACCTAAGTAGGAGACTGTGTCACAAGTGGTCCTTCCTGCTGGGTCAGAGTGTGCGGCTGGGCCAGCCTCAGACCTCAACTGCGGCCTCCCAGCTGTGCTCCTGCTGGGCTGCCCTGTCCAGCCTCAGCGTGGTCCTGTGCTCCCCGGCACAGACATCCACCAGAAACACGCTGGAGGGCAGGAACAGGTAGAAGCCGGCCCCCACTCAGTTCGCGGGCAGTGGGGCTTAGGGTCTTGGGGACATGGAGAGGGACACGGAGCAGCCTCTGCTCATTACAGCCTGGGACAAAGGCACACTCTCCAGGAAAGTGGGGTGGGCAGTCAGCACAGCCGAAATCAGAGCGACGACTTCCCAGTGGGATTTAGTAATGAGTGCTCTTCCTCGCACCGAACGACTAATGGACCCACAGACTGGGCACCCATGCCAGCATCCACCAACAGCCCCTGGAAGGCACAGTGTGCTGGTCTTCAGACTGGAACCACTTGGGAGTCTCATTCTGATTACTTAGACATATTTTTTCAAAGCTCATTTGAGGGGCCAGCAAATGGCGTCGTGGTTACATCGCTGGCGGTGTGGTTAAAGCGCTGGCCTCCCACATGACTGACTATAGTTCAAGCCCCAGACTGGAAAGGCTTGAAAACCATGCCAGGCACGTGTGCATACATGCCCAAGATCTCAGGGGCAGAATGGAGAAGGGACTCAATTGAAATCCAAGCCTAAAATCATGTGTCTTCTCTCATCGTACTGAGGGAAAAGATGCTAGCTTTCGGATATGGGCTATGCCCCCTAACACTGGACACGGCTGGATGGTGACGGCACTACTTTGAATGCCCTTAGTACTTTATATTATTATATTCTTGTAACTGAAAAAGTAAAACCAGCAGGCTGCCCAGCTGCTTTCCTGAAACTCCCCCCTTTGAAGCCTCCCTGCACACAGCCGGATGTGCAGCCGCTATCTGGCCCCCTCGAGCCCTTCTCCCATCCCCTTGCCCGGAGCTCGGGGAGCCTCAGCCTGTCACATGAGGCCAGATGGAAAAATGATTCTAGCTTTGCACCAGCTGCAAGAGGAGCCCACCGCCCAGCCTCCTGGTTGCAGGCAGAGAAGGCTGTTGCCCAGGAGCGCCCTGGCCCCTGCTGGGAGTATGCACTCATTCCCCGGGGCTGTGTTTCTCAATCCAGGTGTTTGGAGTTAGGAAAAAATATCTCCACACCAAAGCAGTTTGGAGATCACCTGGCGGGGGTCAGTTGGGTGAGGGCCTAACGCTCCCGCAGGTCTTCCATCAGCAGGTAAACATGAACGCAGAGCCCTGTCTTGCTAATGACTCTCATGATGGAAGGAGGACCAGCGGCGCGGGAGGCCTAGGTGAGACCTGCAATTTCACCAGGGGCCCGGCAGAAGGGAGGAGCTCTCCACACAGTAGCCACATGGCACAGGCTCGGGACGGACCCAGATGGGAAGAGAGTTCTCTCTCTGCACTTGCTCATCGTACAGTTCCGGGCACGTTACTTATCTAGCTCACTGAGCTTCGTTTCCTGATCTGCAAAGAGTACTTCCTATACCCAGAGCCTGTCGGAGGGTGTGCTGACACACCACACTAATAGTGAGGATTGCTGAGACCTCGCAGCACTGATATTCTCATCGCGCTGGCACAAGGCCACACAGGGTGGGTACAAACAAAACCAAATAGCGTGCATTTATCCCGGGGCCTAACGCAATGGTAACAAGTGACCAGAGCCTTCACTGTCATCATTGACGACGTCATCGCCTTCAACGTCGGGGGAACTGAGGGCTAAGTCCTCATTTTGAAGGCACAGGAAAGCAGTTGGAGGCCATTTTGTCTCTCTAGCCCTCTCTGCAACTCCTTTCTGGGAGAGAACCTCCACTTGCTCCCAGGCTCACGCTGTGCACATTCTTTGGAGAGAGGAAGACAAATGGATGGTACGCCCTACCTGTTTGGGCACCTGTCCGAAGTTGCTGATGAACCCCAGGATGGTGCTCTTGATCAGGGGGTCACTGATGCTGCTGAGGTCCACTCTGTCACCATAGAAGTAGGGGTGGAAGGTATTGGTGGCCTCCACTGCAGCTGGGCCCTGCTGCCTGTACCCGAAAATGAGGTCTATCCAGTGGTGGAGGTGGGCACTGACGAAGTCGCTCTCCAGAGCCTGGAACCCAGACCCAGAGTGAAAACCCAGACCTCTCACGGCTTCCGGCGCCCTCTGCTGACAGAACCTCTGTGCAGCGGGGACGCTGGGGTCCACACCCAGCTCGGGCCTGACTCACCTGTCTGTGCAGGCTGATGAACTTCCGGGGGTCCCCGTCGGCCCAGGGCGGGAGTTGCACGTCACCGAGAGCCGTCCCGTCCTGCATGCAGCCTGAGCGGGATGAGAACCGCGGGGTCAATCTGGGTGAAAGGGTTGCCGGTTTTCTTAAGTCCGAGCAGGAGTTGTGTCCTGTGCAGGCCACACGGCTTCCCGCCTCCTCTGTCTGAAGTGTCCCCATCCTCATCAGCTCGGCCTCGCTGCCTTGGTCTCCACGAGGCCCTCCTGGCTGCCCCGGCAGTGCCAGTAGTTGTTCCACAAGCCGGGTCGGCACGGTCCCCGTCGGCACGTCCCAGTCATCATGGTCCCAGTCATCATGGTCCCAGCTGGCACGGTCCCAGTCGGCACATCCCAGTCGTCACGGTCCCAGTCGGCACGTCCCAGTCGTCACGGTCCCAGTCGGCACATCCCAGTCGTCACGGTCCCAGTCGTCACGTCCCAGTGCCCTCGTGTGCACACGTGTTCCTCCCCAATATGCTCGGCTTCTTTATCTGGGTGTGTCTTAGATGGTGAAGGCCATAAGAGCCCTCGTGGGCTGCCATATTTTGGGCACCTGACCCCATGTCAGGCACCATGCTGCAGCAGCGTACCGGACTGTCACCCTAACTCTAACATTATGCACTTTCCCTCCATTTTAAAGTGAGAAACAGCAAGGTCTTGGGGGAGATTCCCCAGACAGCAGGAAGAGGAGGCTGGAGTCCAGCCTGGGCCCTCCTACCCCTGGGCTCCACAGCCTACAGTGAGCCGCTGAGTCTCTTTGGGGTTCCGTTTGCTACCTGTAAGTGAGGCTAGGAGTTACCGATAGGGCAGTATGAGGGTTAAAAGAGAAAACACCTCATGTGCATAGAACTGGGCCGGGCGTGGGATGGTTGCTAGAAAAGTGTTGGCCACAGCCTTGCTCGGGCCCTTCAGAGCCTCGACGGTACAGCCAGGGCAGAGGTGCCCATGCCCTCTCTGCCTGCAGGGCTGTGCCTGACCCGGCCTTCTCGTCTCAGTCTCAGCTCACCTGAAACTTCCTCAGCAGCCAGGTCCTTCCTGGGGACCAAGGAACACAGGTCTGCCATCGCTCCCACTCACTCGCCTGTCCCCTGAGAGGACTTCTCAGCACCTGGCAGCATGTCCTCGATCTGTCTATGGTTCTGTCCTTGTCCCCCTTCCCTGCTCAGAATGTAAACGTCTTCAGGACCATCCATCTGAGGGGACCCGGCTGAGGCCTCAGTGCCTGTAAAGGTGCCCGTGGACCGCAGGTGCTCACTAGCCGCTTGTCCTGACTCCCCGAGGACGCACTTGCAGTGGAGGCTTTCAGTGATAGGCACGGTCGCCAGTGCCCCTGCCCCGGGCCCTCTCACGTCTGTTCCTCCTCTATGCAGTCAACGGCCTGGCTGACCCAGGATGAGGGTCTGGTTCAACTGCCCCGAGGTGCACCAGTCTCTGGGTCCTGCTCGCTGAGTCTAGTCAAGAAGCCCTGCCCTCCACCAACTGCATTCCCTCCATGCGGGACGTGGGACAGCACCAGACCCGTGGGACGTGGGACGAGGAGGGACCAGGACTGGCAGAGGGTGGGGCTTGTCCACAGTCACGATACATGAGGGCAGAGCTGGGCCTGGCTACCAGCAAGGGCTTCCACTCGCTGGCCACTGCCTCACTGAGGACTGAGCCCCAGGACCCTTGGAGAGAAGGTTATGGCAGGCCAAGGCTTGGTGCTGTCCTGTCACCCTCGGCCCAGTGTCCTCGCTCAGCACCCACCTCCTTACCCACGTGCTTCCACCTAGCAGTCCTCACCACTGCGCTAGTCCTGGGCAGAACCCGTGTCCAGCTGCCCGGCATAGCTATGACTATGTCAGTCAGTGCCAGGAGCTGCAGGCAGAGCCGGCCTCTCAACCTGGCCGGCCTCAGCAGCCTCTACTCACCGAACTCCAGCGCGTTGTGGTTGGTCAGGAACTCGGGCAGGTAGAAGAACTCCGGGGTCAGCTCCCGGACGTCACTCATGTTCTCCCTGGAGGCAGACTCCCACGTGCTCCGCACACTGTGGAACATTCTGTCTGCCACATCGAAGCTTCCGCCCTGCGGGAAAAGGGAGGCTGTGATCAACCTGTGCAGAGTGTCACCCACCTGGCAGGCCTCCTGCTGCGCCTTGTGCCTCGGAGGCCTGGGTCCTGAGGCTGGAACTTTTCTCTCACTCTCCTCACACGTCCACTCCCGAGACCATGCATGCGGACATGGCGTGTTCATGCTTCCACTCACTCACTCACTCTCTGGAACTCACACGAGAGCTCTGAGGGAGGGAGCGATCCGGACTGCCCACGGTGGAAATCTGAGGTCAGAGCAGACTGAACAGGGGGGATGTCAGCGAGGACTTTCTAAGACTGGGTCTCGGACTGCTTAAATTCAGGGACACCCCCTCCTGGGGCCCCAGTCACTTGGATGCAGTAAGCCTGGGCCTTGTTGACAAGAACTTGGTTTTCTCCTACTGGTTCCCGCATAGCACACCTGACCTGTGGCCTGATGAACTTCCGGGTGTCCCCGTCGGCCCAGGGCGGGAGACTGAGTGGGGACAATGAGTGGGGCCCAGCACAGCAGTGCCCATGTCTATGGTCACCTGGCTTTACCTGCAGAGGCCGAGGACTCCCACGGCATGTACCTGAGGAGCCGTGGGGCAACTACCGCGGTGGGGGGAGGGTAAAGGGCAAGAGGCTTCCCTCAGCAATCCCGCTCCACGTTAAGGACCTCAGATCCACGCAGGTTGCCTCAGTTTTCACAGCGGGTGTATAAGGAAGGAATCGGTCTCTCCATTTTGCAGATTAGAAAATGGAGGCTCCTCAAAGGGTACGGATTTTCCCAAAGCTGTCAGAGCAGTGATTGGCAGAACGGTGGTCAAACCCATGGATGCAACTCTAAAGGGCAGACTTTGCCCCACGCCAGTCTCCTGGGAGAGTCCTTCGACCTGGGGCAAACTGAATCCCCCATGTATGGGAGGGTGGGCAGACTCGGCTCCTCCTGAGACGGCAGGCACACCTGGGCATCCTGAAGGCATGGGCCGACTGGTTAATTTTCCGAGGCAGAATCGTGGGGAAGTGAGGCCCACAGGTCATTCTCCACATAAGGGTGGGACACCAGAAAGACTTGGGTACGTGGGGTTACGACCTACACAGCAGGGGGGCAGTTAAGACGTAGCTCTCCCCAAGGTCACTCTCTCTGCTCCCAATGAAACCAGGGGATGATGCCCACCATCGAGTTAGAACTGAAGTGGAGATAAAAAGGGAGGTGGGTCTAAACCGATCTGCCCCTGACGAGTCGCTCACTGGAATGTATTAAGAGCTTCGTGTATTTAATCTCAGCCCGAGCCCTACATCCGGGTGATTGATGCCTTTTCCTCCTGCTGGGGTTCTTCTGCAGCTTTTATGAGTGCTGATGGTAATCTCTTGAGAAACAATATGATTTGGTAATAAAAAGATTACCTGTATTAAATAAAAATAATATATACATATGAAATATTGTTAGTGCTACAAATCTGGTTAAAGATATTACCACAAAGAAAAATGTTATTTTTTCACAGCTGTCTAATGCATTTTAGCAAAAGTAATATCTTTAAAACTTAAGCCTGTATTATTTATAAAGGAAGCAATAACTGATTTTCCTATTTCCTATATTAATAAATGTATTTGCATACATTTGTTTCAAAATTAATGGGTTTTCTCACTTCTGCAATACAAAGCAAACACCAAATTCCCTAGAAGAGAAAATGGAGTTGCTTTGTTACTTGTGCGTCTGTGGGTCGGCGTAAACTCTGGTGGCTGCTAGCGACGAGACCCTGCTAGGGCTTGCTTCCTGGGAAAGGAAAGGAGCAGAGAAGGAAGAGAAGATATGAGAGTGAAAGGCTGAGCAGGAGATCGATTAAGGGCAGGGAGACCAATTAAGGTGTACAGAGTGCCTGCACAGGGAAAGGCCAAAACTCAATCAATAAATAACACAATTAAGTCTAGAGATTGGAAGAAAACAAAGTAATCAGAGAAGCAAGATCTACTTCCGAATCCACTCTACAGATATCCTTTGAATATTAAGAATAATGAACCTGGGCCAAGAGGTGACATTGGAGTCCCACATGGCCAAACATGGTTCAAGTCTTGAAGCAGGGCTTGAAAATCATGCCAGGCACATTTGTGCATTTGCCCAAAATTCCAGGAGGAGAATGGAGAAGAGGGGATTGTGGCGTGGCCAGCCTGTCTGAGGGATGATCTCTCATTTTCTCTCTCTTTGCCTCTCTCTGGTGAGAGCAAGTGCCGTATGGCAAAACAAACAAACAAACAAACTCAAAGAATAATGAGTCCTGCAAGTATCCCAACATACTGGGGAAAATATACTAGCGAGGTTATGACTGTTGACGAAGAAGTGCCCTCTTATTGGTAAAAGAATGTCTCATGTGACATTTAGGCCGGAAGGCTACAGAGCAAAGCCAAGACTAGAGAGTTCTGAGGTAAAAGGTCACCGTCTCAGAAATAATGTAAATCTAGCTCCTCAGTTAAAGTATGTTTAGAATTGCTCAATATTGCTAAGAGATGAGTCAGAATTAAGAGCAAAATAATGACGGAAGAAGTGGCTGACAAGGATTGCTGCTGGATGTTGACATGAGTTAAAATTGGGGAAAAGTCTGGGAGTATGAACATGGACTAGAATAAACACCCTGAAAAGGCATGTCAAAGTCACAGGAAATACTCCTTTCTGGTGAGGACACAGGTCTACGGGCACTGTCATCCCTGCCGAAGCACTTCATTCTTAAGCTTCTCTTCAACATGGGAAAAGCACATAGGTCAGAAGACAAGGTTCAATTCTTGACCCAGACCCATAGGAAATTCAGTAACTGCATGTACTCAGGGGCCCTAATTGCACAAAGATGTTCATAAAATGTGCTAGAAAGCTGATTCTCCCAAGTGAAACTGAGCACAATCAACCTACTGTCATATCTATTGGGTAGTCAGAAAAGTCACAACGCATTTTTGCATAGAAAAAAATAGAAAAGTACATCATGATTTTCTATAGATACATCTTCACTTCTATAGTACATCATGACTTTCTCTATATAATAGATAATAGGATAATAGATACACTTTTAAACAGTTTATTTATTTTTACTCATGATAGAGAGAACACATGAGAGAGAAAGAGAGAGAGAATGAGCAGCACCCTGGACAAGTGCTTGTCAGGCACCAATCCCCTTCCTCTCTCCAGCTCATCAGAACTTGGGCACATGTACATGTACCTGCATGTTTTTAGGCTGACCTGGGGAGATGAACCCTCAGGCCAGCACTGCAGTTTAGTTTGCTCCCAACTGCGCTATGAAGCTGGGTTGGGATTGTGTTTACAATCAGGCCCACTACAGACATTTCTCCTTATAAATGAACAGTCTCCTGTACAGACGATGCCTCTGCAGGATACCATCCATATGTGGGTTGATCTAAGCTGCTGCCTTAGTCCACCAAAGAGTCCATATGTGATGGTGGACAGCACACTGGCTTCAAACAGAGAAGATTCGGGTGGGCATCTCAGTGTCCACTCACTTGCAAAATGAGCAGAAATGAGTTGTGAAACTTGTGTAACGGTCCATTCTCTCCTCTGCAGACCTTAGATAATTGCTCTGGGTATGAAAGTGGTATGTGTGAAATGTATATGTGTGTCCATGTGTGCATGTGCAGGCATGAGTGTGTGAGATGTACCTCAGGTGGCCTAGGGCCGACAGATGTGCTGAATGAATCTAGCCTCTCTGTCCCTTTCTCTCCACGACTAGGAACTGGGGAGCAATCTGGGCTTTGGCCTCAATCTCAGACAACCAGGGGCTTGAGAAAAGAGAAAAAGAAGATAGAAGCTATTGGAAATGTAAGGTGGGCATGGGAGAAGTGCAGAAGGGTGGGTTTTCTCATGCCCGTGCCAGGGGCTGGTGGAGTGGGGAAGTCTAAGTGCCTGGGTGGAACTTGGAAATGGAGAATGGATTGTAAGGCAGTTGCCAGGCAAGCGCACCACCAAAGTACAACGCCTAAATATGAGAGTAAGAGAGCTGGACTTGCCGTTCTGTGGGCTTCTGCAGCAAAGTCCAGGCCCTATCTCTCTAGTCAGTGAGGAAAGCCAAGTCCCACACTGTTCTGGGGAAGCCCACGCACCAGCCAGCTGCCTGACCTGTCTTGCTCATGGCTGAGGGCAGGCTGACCCCAGAGCTGCGTGGGATTTCCTTCCTGTAAATGTGGTTTTTCATGAAGCAAGTGAAACCCACAAAGGCATGTTGAAAAACGCTGCCTATCAGAAGGGAGAACAGACTGGTGTGGGGCCCTCGGAAATAGCCCCTGAGATCTGTGGTCTCCACTGGACTTGTCCTGTAACCTGACACCACTGCAAGGAGTCCAGGACCTAGTGGAGGTGTGTGTGTGTGGGGGGGGAGGCAGGGGGACAGTCCTTCATGAGTAGATGGATTCCTCTCCTGGGAAGGCACGTTCTCCCGAACTGGTTCCCTGAGAGGCTGTTACAAAGCTAGGTGGCTGTCTGCAGGTCTCTCCCGTGGCACACCCCTGCTGACCTCTCCAGTTTCCAGCCACAAGGTGAAGCAGCACGTGGCCTTACCATGGCTGAGTGGATGACCACACCAGGCTTTTGGACTTTGCAGCTACCAGTCATGAGCTGAATAAACCTTTCTTTGTAGGTCAGCCAGTCCCGGTATTCTGCTATAGCAACAGAAACAGACGGGTTCACACAGACAGGGTCATGCCCCACCCCCTTCATCCTCACCACAGACAGGGGCTACTTGAAAGATGATGAAACTGAGGCTCAGTTATTCCACATTCCCAGGTAGGAAGCTCTGGGCCTAGGGGTCTGTCCCAGCACTGACTCCATTACATGCGCCTCTTCTCGTATCTTCACTGAGTGTGTGCAATAATTGCACATCAGTGACCTTGAGGACTTCCATCAAATCACAGTGGGCTTTACAGATCCCACTCCTCTGCTGCAGTCAGAGGGGGCTGGAGGCTTCCGAGTCAGCCCAGCGGGCCAGGCTGCACTGGGGGCAGCCCTGCATGAACGTGGGGACAAGAGGTGGACTCTGCCTCAGAGCAGGTGCCACGCTGCAGGCGATGAGTGAAAACGCCAGCTGAGGTTCGCTTGGCTGAGGACACAGACACAGTGCACGCTCCATCCTGGCCTGGGTGCTGGCCCCTCGAGCCTGGTACCCACTGAGAACTCGCAGGTGAACAGCCATGGTGGGCCAAGCTGCCTACAGTTCTTGGTTCTCTCTGCAGTTAGCATCTGTCTTTCACAAAACCCAACCGTCTCGCCTCAGGTGGTTGGGAAAACCCTTCCCCACTGCTGGAACAGCTGACTGCACGCAGGCTGACTTAATTAACACAGTGCTTTATTTGCGTTTCTCATTAAACGCAGCAGCAGCTCCTGCCAGCGTGTCCTTGCTGGGCCCACCTAGGCTGGGTCTCATCCCAGACCTGAGCGCAACTGGTGGCCTGACCGGGGCAGAAACAGTTAGTTACCTGGGCTGGGGCCTCTGGGGGAACGTGGTCTCCCAGTGACTCAGCGTGTCATGGGTCATGGACACTGTTCCAGGCAGGCAAGACTCTGAAAGCCACAGCGCGCCGGAGCTGCCCCAGACTGGGGAGAGAAGCCCTCGGCCAGGGCTGTTTGTTTAGGACACTGGAGAAGTCCCAGAGACGGGTGGTGCTGACGGCCACACACCGTGAACGTGCTCAGTGCCACAGGACCTACACTTCTGACGGTCACGAGGACAGATTTCATGCCATGCACGCTGTACAACAATCGCGAAGTCAAAGTTAACACACGTACGGTGTTAGCACCCCCAGGCACACAGTAGGTGCTCAATGGACGTTAGAGGCTGGTGCTGTGATGAAAGGACCTTTAGAGGTCATCTGGCCCATCTCCTTTGTTTCACGAAGAAGGAAACTGAGTCCCAGAGAAAGTGGTCCGCTCGAGGTGAGGCGGAGCGGTGACGGGGATGCTGGGCCCATGGGATGCTGGGCCCACTGGCCTCAGCCCTCGCTTACCCACGCTAACAGCAGAGGCAGAGTTTGCTCAGTGGGAGCAAGCATGGGAGAGTGTGCACTTTCCTTCTTTTTTTTAAAATTAGAATAGAGTTTTATTTAGCTCACAGTTGGGAGTCCAGTGGTCCTGGGTCAACCAGCGAGGTTACAATAGAATACAGCACAGGTTCTTAGTGGAGCGGCTGGCCATAAGTTTCTGAGTGCACCTTCTAACGCTGAGTTATTTTAGTTTCAATTATGTCCGAGGGCATGTGCACTTGCCAGAAGGGAGAGAGGAGGAAGCACCTCCCTCCCCCAATGGGGCATGGTCATGCTGCAATCTCTTCTCCATTTCTCCACTCTGCTGGGATGATGGGCCCGAGATCTGAACTGTGTGGTCAGCCATGAGGGATCTGGATGTCTTAACAACCACGCCATGGAGCTGGCCTGCTAATGCTGCTGCTTACGTGTGCACCAGCCCGTCTCCTCCATCAGATGAAGAAGGCCTCTCTTCTTACTCTCCCTCACACCGTTCTTACTCTCCCTCCCTCCGCTCTCCACACTGAGGCTAGAAGGCAGCGCCTGGGGCTAAGATGGTGGGAGGCTCCTTTTCTTGTTGCCACAGCCAGTGAAGCAAAGGTCTCTTGAAAAGAAAATGGCTGGTCCCAGGAGATGGGGGCGGGTGGAGGGAAGAGTTTGACTTCAGGAAGACTCTAGATCACTCAAGAAGGTCGGTGAAGGCCTCCGGCCTCCCTGAGGGCCGACAGGCGTGTGCTCTCCCCATAGATGTAGCCTCTGTACCCATTTCCTTGAGAGCAAAACTTCATCTTCTGTTCTAAGAGAAAAGTAGGAAAGAGCAGGGTTTTCTGTTGGTTCCAGAGGCTCGGGCCAGTTAGGATCCACCGAAGGATTCATTTAAAAGTAGGGAGGTGAGGGGCCAGCTGGTGGTATGGTAGTTGAGGTGTTGGACTCTCACACAGTCAACCACAGTTGGAGGCCTAGACTCAGCGGCTTGAAAGTCAAGACAGGGGCGTGTGTATGCGCACCCCAAATCCTGAACAGAGATTGGAGGAGAAGGGATCGCGGTGCAATCATCCCCCATGAGGGGGGGTTTCCTATTTTCCCTCTCTCTGTCTCCCTCTGGCAAATGCACACCCCTACGGAAAAATCCTAAAAAAAAAAGGAAAGGAAAGTAGGAAGGGGAGGTGGGTGCAGAAGCTCAGGTAGAGAGCCAGCTGCTTCCACCTGGGACGGGCCAATCGCCAAGGACAAACCGGTGCCCCCTGAAAGAGAAATCCCATCAGAGACTTTGGACACAGTGGTACTCACAGACTGTACTCGTGCCACCTAAAAGCCTAGAAAGCTGGCTCTCACTCTAGCCAGTGTAGACCATCTTGACTTCACTTCGTCTAGTCACCCATGGGCCAAACTAGGTAACACAGCTCAAAAATGATTTGCTTCAAAGTGGCCATGACCCGAGTAAGCACGTGAGCTCCCAGCACACCTGTGCAACCTGGCTCCTGCTACGCTGGCATCCTCTGGTCAGTCAGGACTGCCTTGAATTAGGTTAAAGAAGCAGAGACCAGCTTGAACGGGTCCGGCCTGCTCAGACTCAAGCCAGCCAATGGCAGAGGGAAGCGGGAAGCGACAGTGATCAATCACCTGTGTGTGTCGAGCCCCGAGCTCGGGGCCTCCCCACATTTTCTCATTTAATCTTCTCAACAGCCCAGAGAGCTGAGCATAATTAGCCCTCATTCCCAGAGACAGCGTGACTTGCAGAAGATTCCGTATCTATGAAGCAGCCGAGCAGAGATGTAAATCCCGGCCAAGGCTGTCCGCCTCTCTTTCTCCTCTCCATGTGCTGTTCCTCTCGGAACAGTAGGGCTGGGGCTTCCTCTGGTGTGCGTGTATCTGACCGAAGGGGCGAGGGGGAGCTCTGAAAGCATCTGGAACATTTAAACATTTAACCTCCCTGGATGGAAAACAGCAACGGACTCCATCACGATCATCGACAGCTACGATCATTTCTGGTGGATTAATGAGAACATCTGGATGGGATTCCTGGCATGGGGTACAGCTCTGGGACCATTCATTCTCCAAACCAAACTTACTTAAAATGCTCGTTGCCTGAGAAAGGCTCAGGGGAAGCACGTGTATTATTTTTGAGTGAATTTCCAGAGAGGGGGGTTATACGCTGTCTAGACGCGCCACGCCGTCAAGGAAGGAGCAGGCCGTGCCAAGAAGCAGGAGGCAGAGGGGCTCGGCTCCATATTTGGAGACAGCACTTGGCCTTGTCTATCCATTCTTGCTCAGGGTTCAGGAGTTAGCCGACCCGGGGTGGCCTCTGGTCCCCAGCACCGAGGTCCCCTGAGTGGCCACAGAGTGGTCTCACAGGTGGGTCAGACCAAAGCACACGGTTCCTGGCACATCTGTGCTTGTCTGGCCAAGGCGTAGGTATCTGAGCCCAGTGGCCAGTCACACCCCACAGTACATGCCTTCCTCGCCACAGGACACTTGCACGGTGTGGACTAGGCCAGCCCATAAACTCGGGCCCTGTGGTGGACTCACTCGGGAGCTGGCTGAGCCACTCACTAGGTCTGGGCTACCCAATGGTTCACTCCAAATTGTGCTCCTGGGATCATGGGTTCCCGGGAAGCCCAGACGTAGGGTGGGAGGGGAAGAGAGAGGACTTCTCAGCACCCTTGCAGTGAGCCCGTGAAGGACTCCTTCCTGAAAAGCTCACATGCCTCAGTGCCACCACGCACTGGGGACTCAGACTGGCTCACTTCAGCACATTCAGGGTAGAAGTGAAATTCAGGAGGCCAGCTAAATCTGAATTTCAGGTAAACAACAAATAGCAGGTTAGTATAAGCCATCGTTAGTCTGAAAACCACTGTGCATCTGGAACTCGAATGTAACGAGGCCTCCTGGATTTATTTTTATTTGAGAAACCCGGCAATCCTAAGCTAGTAGAATGGTCTGTGAGTTTCTGGGTAAATTGGCTACTTTCTCTCCTTTAGCTGTATCGGTCTTCAAATATTTTGTCCCATGAAGCCCTTCAGCTTGCACCGAGCCCAGACTTAACACATTCTGGCGTCTTGAGTCATATTTTTTCATCATTCTTTCTTATGTTTATTTTTCTAATCTCTGACCGTCTGCCTTTCTAGTCTCCAAGCTCTTTGCTTTTCTTTTCTACTAAGTCTTATTTATGTTAGGTATCTTTTTCTGCATCTCTTATTCCCTCCTTTTTAGTCTTTCTGTAAGACTGCTGGGCAGATGTTCAGGCAGTCGACGAAGAACAGCCTGCCTCGGTTGGATGGGCCAGAATCCTGGGGTCAACATCGAGTGAGTCATCTACTAATAACCAGGCTTGTGGCAGAGGAGCCTGTGGTCCAAACCCGGGGCTCGGTCTGTGTGCTGTAGCTCTGAGTGTGTGTGCGCGTGTGTGCGTGTGTGTGTCCGTGCGCATGGGGAGGGGCGGCAGCTCACCTGCAGAGAGCAGAAGGCCTGGGTGAAGGGGGGCATCCGGACCAGGTAGGAGGCGACGATGATGGCTGAGGAATAGTGGGTGTAGTAGTGACACTGGACCGTCATGTCCCCTGCAAGGAAAGTGCACACCTGGAAGTGACTTCTCCATCCGTGCTGGTGCGGGTGACAGACACACAGGGACACTGGCTTAAGAGCAGCATTGATGGTACAGTCACTGGCATTTGGGAAGTGAGGCGCCCCAAGGAAAAGCCCCCCGGCTGTAAGGGCTCAGGTGGCAGGCGAATGCGGCAAGACCGTGAAGTGAAGTACGATGGACAGAGCCTGGGGACCAGGTTCTAGAGCTCAGCAACACAGGCTGTGCCACTGCGAGGCTGTGCCCCCAGCGAGTTGCTTACACTCACGGAGTTTCCTCCTTCCCTGTGAAATGCAGTATTGTACGTGTGAACATGGGTTGGCCTGTGCCTAGCGTGTGAGAAGCTGAGGGAACGTTCTTTCCCCAAGCACTGCCTGCGCCCAGGGTGGCGCTGTCAGCCCTCAGCCCTCAGCAGCCGTCTCTGTCGGGCTGCATATCGGAATCACCTGGGTTCTGCCACACCACAGAGTTCCTCAGCCAGATCTGGAAAGGTGGAGCCGGGACACTGGCATTTCTTACATGCTCCAGGTGGCTCTTCTATGCACTCAGGTGCTAAGCGCTAGGTTAGAGTACTCTGTTCAGATGTACCCATTCATAGGCAAATGACCACCTTGCCCATCTAAATTGTTCCCAACTGTCCTGTTCAGGCATTTAGATGAATAGTATTGCACAAAAACTTGAGTGGGGTTTACCCACCTTCGGTCTTCTCCACTTCTTTAAACCGCTGCATAAATTTCAGCTTCCTTTCCTTGGTCTGGGCTCCCATGGGCTTCGACAGATCCCGGAAAGTCTTGGGATTCGTCAAGTTCAACACCTAGAAGGCAGATGTGCAGCTGGAGTTAACTCCCCAACGCTCGGGTGCCCCAAGACTCATGCTCTTTAGTTTTATGGTTCTCTTTATTGGTTTATGGTCATTTGGTCTGACCCCCCTCTGGTGATTAGCTGGCGCAGAGGGCTTTTATGGCCCCAGAGCCAGTGATCCGCAAAGACATCATCGGGGCGAGATGGAAAATAAGAGGAGGGGAAGATTGAGTTCACGCTGAACCTGTTCCAAGTTGACCCAAATCAGAGCATGGCCACCAGGTACTGAAAAGAGACTTTCAAAAGAATTCTCGTTGTCTATAAGGCAGTTAGTGCCTACCCTCATGGAGTGATTTACTTCAGTACTTCAGGGTCCTTGTTCAGAATCAAACTGCTGGCATACGAAGTTGTGTGTTTTGAAAGGACCTGAGGGACCTTCCTCATTCCTCAGGCCAACAAATCCATGCAGTGCTCACCCTCCCACTACCCTCAGGAACCCCGCAGTGGAGAACTGAGAAGGTTCAGGGCCAAGCGTCTATGGAGAGGCTTCTTTTCAGTGGAGATGGTGAGTGGGACTAGCGTGTCTTTTCAGAAAGGTGTTCCTTTCTACTCTCTCCCTCACCAGCAGTGAGTCACCACAGCGCCCCAGAGGGGCACCACCCTCTCAGTCACTGCAGCTCCCCTGGGGGGCGGGCACCACCCTCCCAGTCACTGCAGCTCCCCTGGGGGGCGGGCACCACCCTCTCTGTCACTCCAGCTCTCCTGGGGGGTGTCGGGTACCACCCTCTCAGTCACAGCAGGAGCCGGGTGGGGATCCAGGTGAAGCAGTCCTTCCTAAGACCTCAGCGAGTGCTGGCAGGGCCAGGCAGAGACCACGCCAGTTCAGCCGATGTTGCTGGGTCAGAATGGGTCATAGCTGCCAGCTCTCCTACTTTCCTAAAAGATACTAAAATCTAAATTTTTAGGAGACATCTCCTAATTTTTAAATCTTGGTTAAGTAATGACAAATTTAAATATAGAGTATGAATATAACCAAAAGAGCTGGTAAACCACCACTTTGAAACCTGGGAGTTAAAGCTGAAATTTTGTTTGTGTTTGAAATGCTTCATCCATGTTTTAATGTGTTGGCTGCATTAAATGTCTTAAGTGGGGGCTGGGGCTCAGAAAAGACTAAGCCCCCCTCCCCTGAATCCTGGGGCGGTAGGCAGGACAGGCCAGGCAGGTCCGAACCAGTGCCCCGGTCACCTGTCCTTCACTCAGGCCCAGAGCCCAGCGGGGGCACAGGCAGCCTGACCAGCCGTGGTGCTTCCCTTCCTCCTTCCCCTACTTGCTGAGGCTCAGGGCAGAGGCCCAGAGGCCAGCGAGCTGGTCTGCCATCCACCTCTGCTTTGGCCGCGTGATTCAGGGCAGATCCCAGGTGAGGCCTGGACCGGACCCACTGACTCAGGCACCAAAGTCAAGCTCCGCTCTCTCTCTGCCTCCGTCTCTGTGTCCCTGTTTTCCTCTCTCTCCTCCTTGCTCTCTCTGCACACGCCACACCTAGGAGCACAGTCCATGCTCCGCCTCCCTGTGCCAGCGCCAGCGTCGGCCTCTGGCAGCTTCTTGGCAGGTGAGTCCAGCTGCCTTCACTGTGGAGAGATGCCAGGGAGCCCCCGGACTAATATTGGCAATCAAGCCGGTCGTGACCACTGCACAGGCGGAGCCAGGACAGGAGCCCTGGCAGCCAAGCTCCCAAGGCCACCGTGGACTCAAAGAGAGCCGAGCACCGAGCAGCCTTGAGTCCCAAGGAGCTGGTGCAGGTTGCCGAGCTGCTGAGCAGAGACAACTCCGCACGCTGACGTCAGGCCGTCCGTGGTGCCCGCTGACGTCAGGCCATCCGTGGTGGGCAGGAGAACCCAGCACACCCATGGTAGCCCCGCTGTGAGCACCTTACCTCTGAGCTGTAGTCTGCGAGGACCCAGGGGAACACCGGGTACTGCATGTAGTCGTTGTAGGTCCTCCCGGCCAGTGTGTTGAGGTACATGAGATACTCAAAATTGCTGATGTCCCTTCTCTACCGGAAGAGACAAAGAGAACAAACTGAACACAGGCAGCACCCTCCTGAGGCCACGGGGCTTGGGTGTCCCGACCCTCGGCCCTCAGCAGGGCACCCTGGTCTAGTCCTGGGCTGAGGGCAGGTAGGCGGCCCCCAGGCTGTTTCCCCAAGTCTGTGCTTGAGCCCGCAGCACCAGGTCAGGGAGAAACACCAAGTTCAGCGTGAACTGAGCAAGCGTGGCCGGGAAAACAGCAGTTCTGCAATCCAGAGCCCAGGAGGAGGATCGTCGGTACTAGCTTTCAGACCTGACGTGAGCACGAATGCTGCGGGGCCCTTTCTGCCAGGCTTTTCAGTTAGACACCTAGGCCGGGGTCCTGGCCGTCATAGAGACAGACGCCCTCGGCAGGGCTGGACCGGCTGTCCTCTGCGCCTTGGGCAGCTGCCTCCCCTGCTCCTGCCTGTTGGGACAGCGCTCACTCATAGGGACCCTCTGCGTTGTGATGAAAGGCCACGACGGAGACAGCACTGGGGGAGTGTGGACGAGGGCCACCCGGCGAACGCGTGGTCCAGTGGTGTCGTCTCTTAACCGGGACTGCTCGCTAGGTCACCTCCTTGGCCTGCTGCTTGAGAGGCTTTAGATGTGAGTGACTGAGAGCGACCTTCTCACTGCCCGTGTTCTCCAGGGCTGGCCCCTCGGGGTCCCCGTGCTTCGCTGAGGAGACTGGGCAGATGTCGGCTCCCCTGGGCTGGCAGCCACGTGTGTCCGGAAACAGGAACTGCACTCCTGCCCCTCCTACATGTGCACATTTATAGCATTTCTACAGATAGGGTGTGTGCACAGAGAGAGGCACCTGAAGTCCACACGTGCACACACAGGCACATGCGTGCACACACACATACACAACTGCTTGCTCCCTAGCTCTGACTCCAGTGCTCAAGAGTTTCCTCCTATCACTGGGCTAGTGCCGGGGCATCTTGGTAAATTAACAGAACAAGCCCCCTCTTGGTTAACCGTGCACGTCCTCCCCCTACTGTGGCCTGGGCTATATTCTGGTTGGCATT